GGTAGACCAATCAGTCGAGCGATTCTATTCATTATGTTTGCAGAAATAATCGTTTTTTCCCCTTTTGTTACTTTCTTGAAGCATAATCTGCGAAAGACGCTTAAGTTATTCGAAAGCTGAGCGGTTCGAGTGGATGCAAGAGAATCTTTTGAACATGGTGCCCACCATCAATTTCTACGTCGTTCAGGGCGACTGATGAGGTATGGAAGAACCCGGGCTAGAATGTTCCTGAGATGTCCCTTCACCAAATAGAACGAGCCTTCCACCGCTGCTTCAACAGTTGCTAGACGTGAACTCATGCATAATGGCTACCGATTTCGGAAAACTTACAGTGTTTGCGTCAGCTATCAACGGACTTCGCCATTATGTTGGCCACATGTTGACGGGTTGGTTTGGGGGTTTCATTCGTGTGCAGGTTCTTGCAGACGGTAACATCTGTTACTGGCAGACAACAGCCACCCACTTCTTAGGCAACGTTATGGACCAGGAGTCTCCATGTCATCCCTTCTTAAAACTTCGGCATGATGTCAAATTTTATTCACCAGGTCGAAATACCGGTATAAGGATGCCGAAGGTCGTGATAGAGCCATGGCTCGATTCTGTGAAGCTGAGCTGATGTCGAACTCCTGAGGACCCCGTCTACGTACGGATTCTTAAGATACAAGGATCGATACCACTATCTGAAGTAGTGCCTGTACTACACATTCATCGCGTCATTTCGTGCGAAATCAATTTTACTGATGCGCTCCATGAGCGAAGCGTCTTTTTTGCCTCCCTCCCTTTTCTGTCAAATGATTGATTTGTCCGACTAGACAATATTAATATTTCTGGAATGAGAGTTATGGCGCAGACGAGTTCTTATTCAAGATTTTATTGTTTTCCCCACATAATTCTGTCTATCCCTACAACACAAGAATTTCCTCTTGCATTGTCTCTATTAAGCCGTTGGCGGCGTTGATGATTGCAATGGTCGTAGTTGCATTCTTCTGTTGATGTGAACGTCACTACTGTGAGGTATTTGATCACTTCAACAGAGAGCTTATGTATTTTCTCACAATCACTTATCACTAAACATCAAATCTTTTGGTCCCACCACAATATGTTTTTCCTTCTGCACTATGACCCACTATCTGCTTGAATATTGACTGATTCTTTTGCTGAGGAAGGTGTCGGTACATTATGAGCGTCAAAATCTACGCATGTTGACGATCTATCACGCCACAGGGAACCCCTCTTTTCATCGTTTCTCTGTCTGGAAATTTCATTGCGTTCCGTTCGATCTGCGAACGCAGAATGCATTCAGAGACATCATCCAGGGTACGCCAAATCCACGGAAAGGCTAGTGGATACGGGACGTGAGGATCCATCGCCAAGCAGGCGCCACCAACTAGTGGGGTGCTTGCCATGACTCAATTAAGAGGCCCTTATAGTTATGTGTTGCATGGAAGGTTCCGTATTTCTTTGATTTCTTTTCTATAGCAACTTCATGAAAGTACATGAGTTCGGGAATCTCAATAAACTTGATCTCTTCTCGAAGATTTTTTTGAGGGAATCTTCTACTTTTCTTGAGTAGCGAATGTTGCTATGCTCATGAATCAGATGCGGCATGTGGTTTTCGTCTGTAGCTCATAGAATAACTGATAGCTCGTTTGCACATTTCACGATAGCTTATACATGGAAAAACAACGAAATATACCAGGAAATGACTGTTTGAATAAATTCTCTCTTGCTAATGAAAAAAAGCCAGAGCTTCTGCGCTTCGCTTTATTGATTATCCCTTTTGTGACGCGGCACGCGTTACTCTGTCCGTAATCGCAGTGGCTTGTTGAATGCGATATGGCCCATGCCATCACTCGCGGGGCCAGCCGATGAGCAAGTCCTTTCTATCCTCCTCAGAAATTATGGGGCAACCTGATATGGCGCTGTTATTAGTATATAAGAATCTGTAACAAATAATAAGCACAATGGGCTGTAATTTACCTTATTTAATTGGATGTTTATTGGCGCTTAGATATCGGTGGAACTGGGGGGCAGATAGGTGTACGCGTAAAAGAACATCCGGCTAGCAAAAGACGGGGAAGTTTAGTTGCACCACTTGGGAACCATAGAAGGGTTAAATGTCGGATGTGATTTTGACGTTAAATCACTATACAGGGGGGCCAAAAAAAAGTCATTTTGCCTCCATGACTTTCAAGGCGCTATAAGTTACACTTTATTAAATTTTTATCGGACATTTTTACTACCGCACATTAAATACTATAATGATACTCCGCCACAGCCTTCTGGAGGAGCGCCATCGAGAGATTCGGCCGCGCGAAAGTGAGTGGGTACCGGAGTTGAGCGAGATCGTTGATTCTCCGCCACTGTAGACCACCCTGTTGAGCTCCGCCCGAACCGAGTAATTGAGGGGTTTAGTTCAGGACCCCGCTTAAATACTCCATCTTTTCCAGGTACTCAACGTTCTTCCGTTTCCAAGTAGGCGAAAGTTTTTTCAACGCCCTTCGATTTCATGTGGTGGTACTCAATGCTGTAGCAGTACAAAGTTTCCAAGAAGGTACGGGCGACCACATGTAGGGAGGAATATCTTTCTCAGAGTTACTTGATTATAAAAAACCGCCAGCGCTCACCTTCAGTCCAAGGGAAGAAACATAACAGAGAAAAATATCGGTCTTCCATTCCAGCGTACGGCCGTCCACACACATAAAAGCAACGCGACACTTGAGTTGAAATGGGAGTGAAATGATGTCACATAAGACGCGGCTAGCGACGTTGCACTGGAAGCTGCCTCGACTGTTTCGGGTCTGCAGATCAAAGAAGTACTTGTCTCCCAGGGGTAGCTATCCATGGGTGATTCCATTCAAGAAGTTCCGCAGCTGTTTGGAGGCCACGTGAATTCCAAAGGCGTTCTCCACTCAGGCCGCGACTGGAGATGACTTCATATTTTGGTGTACATGAAGGTGAATGGCGGCAGCCGGCTCCTGCTTATAGAGGAAGATCTTGGGTATCTTCCGCCCTGGTACTCATATCCACTTCCTCTGTCTGGGCTGCGAAAACTTCGCTCATATGTGACTCGGCCGGAATGACTTTTTTTTTTTGGGCCCCCCTGTACTCACCCGCGAAAATGATGTTGGTGCTAGAAATACCCTCGAGGCGTTCTGGATGCTGGGCTGAGAAAAATTTATTTTGATATTTGTTTCTTGTTTCACGGATGTTGCAAAGGAGGGGGGCGGTCGCTTTGTTCGCTGTTGAGAGGGAGGGACCCGTATTTCCTTTCAGACCTTCTTAAGGTTTTCCTGTTTCCTATGTCCCATGAACCCCCTCCCCCAGCTCGGCTAAATTTTTGGGGAAAAATCGGAAAATTTTTGGGAAAGCCTGGAAAAGAAGGGAAGAAGTTGAGGAAAATCTATGAAATGGTAAAAGGGGGTCGTATTTTCCTTGCGAACCAGGAGAGAAGGGTTGTCCTAGGGCAACCAAAATCCAGAACTAATGATGTGCCCTGGTGAGAGCATCTCAATAATTGCTGATTTCTTGCCGTACGTACCACTGTGTGGGCTTTAACAGTGAGAACGTGATGCATCGCGCGTACGCACCCTATCGCACATGGCAGTGCGTGACAGTGAGTTCCACTTATGCAGTTGCGTCTACAAAGTTGAGCAGATCATCGGCGCTGGTGGAATCGAAAATGTAACTTGCCGTTGGACTTTTCGTGTGCACTCCCTTGGTTTGAGTTGCATCTAATTAAGGACAGGCCTGTGTTGAACAGGATAGGTAGTTTTTCGCAAGTTTCGGTAAGATTTCAGGCCTTCGAGAACGACGATATTGTCGAAAAGCGTAATAAATGTCCCACCATGCAAACCTGTTTGGTATAAGAAAGTAGTTATCGATTTCATGAGAGTCTGTGATATTTCCTGTCTCAAGAGTCTGACTCACTATGATAGAATGCTGTCGAGGGACGAACTTGTTTGCGAAACATGAAATTCGTAAGAAACATTAGTGTTTGGCGCTTTTTATTCCTCAACATTGCCGCGGAACTAGCACAATCTCTGCGTTTGCAGACCGCCCTCTTTTCTTCACGGGAGAGCCTATCAACACAAGTGGTCATTGAATGTGCCCTCAAGCCTACTTATTGGTACGCCTCATGGTGTTTTGGACGTTAAAAGGAGTTTTCGCATGATTGAAATTTTTCGTCACATTTAATTCTATTTGTGTTGCGGCAGTTGAGGCAGCAGTAGGGAAATCGATATGCTACCAGTCGGAGGGCTGACTCTTGTCAGTGTTTTCCAAAACGATTTTGTTGCTTCGGAGCGTTGTTCTTGCATGTGATGGCTCGACAATTTTTCTGGCAGAAATATTCTGCTGCATTTCGCTTTCACGATTGGGAAGTCTCCCAGTACGGCGCTGTGGGGAACTCCCCCACTACGTCGCGGTGAAGAAGCTTTCGTATGGTAGAAAACGGATGGAGAGAGAGAGATAAAGATAGGTGGAGAGAGAAAGGGCTAGAAGAATATTTTTGAGTGCACGATATTCCTGTGTAGTTTCAACTAAGAGTGGAGCCTTGGTGGTTTGAGCTCAGAAATTCGCCTCGCTGTTGTTTTTATCAGGGTGTGGGTTTTATCCCTTTTGTAACTGGAAGTATTGGTCATTATTTTAGTCGTACAGTGTCACTTTGAAGTGTAGCTGTTGGTGGGCCGTCATTCACTTGATTATAGTTAGTTGCAATCATGTGAAGCAGTTGTTAAGATTTTCTGAAGGATCTTAACAGTAGCACATAGTGGAATACTTCGGAATCCGTACAAACAGTACTAGTTGTTTGGTACTGCGTTGTTTCTTTAGTCTGTGGTGGCGCTCGTTGAGACGCATGTGTGTCACATGTGTAAATTTTCTTCACAGCAAGCAGCACTTATGTGCTCAACAGTTGGCAAGCATCGAATATCTCTCATTTTCTTGTTTGTCGTCGTTCTGTTGCGTGCGATTGATATCATCAGTAGTATACATAGATAATGTTTGTTTTGAAGGTAGTTTCTAGATCTTCTTGGTTTTCCTTGGTCTCTTCGAATTTAGATTCTCCCTTCTGAAGTTTTCGTATTTTCCATCCATCTAAAATTTAAATTTTTCAGAAAGAATCAGCGCTGATGAACGAGTACACTTCCTTGAAAAATCTTGTCGATGAACTCAACAAGGAGGTTGCCAAGTTTGAGCAATTGTGAGTATTCCTTATGGTTTTTTTTCCTAAAATATGGTCAGGTTCGACTATGATACATATCTGAGATATGACAATTCAGCAAGAAAGAACAGGATGAGCTGGAGCAGAAATTACTTGCCAAAGAAGCAGAGCTGGCCGAGAAAAGTGCTCGTCTTGCTGCCGCAGAGACTGAGAAACAGGTTTTAGCAGTTCAAGGAAATGGAAGGAGGTAATTTATCGTCTGACAATTGATTTTTAGACATTTTCTTCTTATGACCTTATACTATTCTTTTCATTCTAGCGCCGAATTGGAAACAGAGAACGCTGAACTTCGGAAAAAGCTGGCCGAACTAGAAAACAAGTTGTCCGAAGCCATGAAAGCACAGTCTGATGCGTAAGTTCTAATGAACTCTCTAGCGCTGTTGTTTTAGTGCAAGTCTTGCTTGGGAATCCCCAGCGAGGGGTTGCATTTGGTCGCTAGAGGGAGAGAAGTCGTAATTGCCTTTGAGAGTAATGTTCCATTTGTCGACTTTTCTTGGTTTTTTTCCTGTTTGAAATGCGCCATATATCTTCCCTTCCGTTCCGGAGAAAGTGGAAGGAAGCTGGGAAAAGTCAGCAGAACAGTAATGTAGGGGTGGGGGTCGTACCAGAAGGGGAAGCTTGGGAGGAGCCGTATTTTGCAAACGGTTCTCAAATGGCAGGACGTGCTCTTTGTTTTTCGCTCAATTAATAACAAATTCGTAAAGATGTGAAGGATGTCAATTTGCAGGCTTGCTGAGCTGGCTGCTGCTCGTGCTCAGGCTAACGAGGAGGTACTCTTTGCTTGCATATGTAGAGAGATGTGATATGAAACATCAGGAATTTGCATTAAGTGGAAATTTCGTTCATAAATTGCAGATTGTGCTCTTGAAGAGATCTCAGCCTGTGGATGCCCCTAATGTGACGAATGCGAACGTAAATGATGAAGAAGTTACGAACCTCCGCGTTGAGAACAATCGATTGCAGGAGAAAAACGAAGTATGTCTGTGTAAGAGTTAAGACAACGTTCATGATTTGCGACTCCCTTTTAGTTCACAGGATCTGCGACTGGAATCAGATATGTAGAATAGCACGTTTTTGGTTGTAGGTGTGATTCTGCGACTCTGCGGTACCCTAGAAACGGTTCTGTTACCCTTTTGTTCGCCCATCGCGCACTGTAGTTACTCAACTTCTTGGCTGTTTTGTTCGAATCCTTTTTTATTGTTTTTACCCAGCACCAGTTGAAGACACATTCCAGACTGTAAGTCGTGGGTGATCCAGTTCACCTGCCTGTGAACAAACTATTGCAAAAGTGCAAAAAGTGGTGGAACCCTGAATAAGTTCTTCATCCACCATTAGGCCGTTATAAAGTGCTAAAGATCAACAACCCAGGAAGTGACGGATGAAAGAGCACGCACTCAACCCTCCCTCTTGGCTCGCCGACTATAAGGCGGGACGGGAACCTTATACTGCGCTGGGCCTCATGGCGTTGTTTATCATATATCGGGGCCGAAGATACCGGAGTCGAAACGACCTTGATAATGGGTGAGCATTAATGGTGACAAAACAGGTCCAATCGCAGAGCCTTATAGTTGCAGAACTGCACGAGGGAAATCGCTAAGTATGAACGCTGCCAGAATCGTGGCTTGAAATGTTGTGAAATACCATGTTCTTCTGTTTAGGAACTTCGTAAGCGCAATTTTAAAATTCTGGATGATGTAGCAAATCTGGAAAAACAACTTCGTGAAAGGATTTCATCGGATTCCGCTGCACAATCCAGCCCTGCAAAGGTAATTTTGCGCCTTTGTATCATGCGCATATTTGTTGAATGGTTTGTCTTCGACCAGTTCATACGAAGTTTTTAATTAGTCGGTTCGGAGGCGGAGATACTTGACGCTGAGCGCTTATAGCTGGATCAGCCACGTTCTGGCTCCCACTTATGTGTGAGGAGGAATTCGACTCGATGCCCATTTTACCCTTTGCAGTGGAAAATGCAGTCCCTTGGGGATACCGACAACCTAAAAGGCCTCCTTTGTGGCGTTCGCCCTAGGTTTTGAAGAGTCTCTTTAGGAAGTAATGAAGTACTACAGGGCCAGTGACGCCTGCAAACAGTCCTTTCTGACGATGTCGTGGTATCCGGAAATAAGTCAGGCGAAACGAACTATCATAGGAAGAAAC